TCACTCTGCGGTCCAGGCTGGAGTGCAGTGGCATGATCATCTCATTGTAGCCTTGAACTCCTGGGCTCACTTGATCCTCCCGCCTCAGGCTCCCAAGCAGCTAGGACCCCAGATGTGCACCACCACACCTAATTTTTTTATTGTTTGGTAGAGATGGGGTCTTGCTATGTTGCTCAGGCTGGACTCAAACACCTAGCCGCATGAGATCCTCTTGCCTCCACCTCCCAAATTGCTGGGATTACAAGGATAAGCCACTGCACCTGGCTAAATGAATTAAATGTACATAAATGCTTTTTGCAAAACATAATGTAATTTCTAAACCATAGATGTTTTTACTAATTATGATCAAATTGAAATGAAAAATTACTATGTCAAATGATGAGACATATTTTAGGTATATAACATTAAAACATACACAAACACATAATAAAAGAAAAAAACCTACCTCTCCTTTAAGTTAAATGACCTAAAGAAATGGCTTTTGGAACAGCACTTAAAGGGATTTTAAGGAGAAAAGTTGTGGATAAGGATGGGGAGTACAAATAATGGTTACGGCACTGGATTAATGGTTCTAACTCAAAATCTCCCCTATTAGGAACAATTAGCACAGCACTGAAGGTAATTTTTTGTGCATCAGATCTCTGCATAAGTGTTCACTAAGGAAATGTCACAGCTAAACAGTTTTAAATTTATACACTCAATCAGTGGTTCCTAACTTTTCTGTAAAGGAAGACACCTAACAACATCAATGATTTTGAAATGATTCAGTCCTGGAATCCTGAGGCCATCAATAGATGATGTTTCAGTTGACGCATAACATTGAGGAGAAGAGAACCATTAGAAGTATGTATAGAGCAGTGGAAAAAGACTAATCAGGCATTAATTTTTATACACAAATGCCACCTTATCACCTATGAGTCTTAAATATTTCAATAGCAGCACAACAAATTGTGACCTCTTTCCTTTTGGTGGGGGTTGCTGGAGGGTACTGCATTTAAGTCAGTACAAGAAAAAGTTATTAATCAAAGTCAATAAAACAATTATTTAGCATTTACACTATCAGGTACTATGCAGGAAAGTTATCACAGTAGGTCTGACACTACTAAGAAAGGCTTGGCTGTAAGGTTGACACCTGGCTGGTGTTTTAAAATACGGATTTTAGGAGAGTTTCCATCATTTCCAGTACTCATATGACAAGAGTGGCTTACTATGCTTAAACTGCACAAAAAATGTGGTTTATGCTAAAACACCTTCTTTCCTTTTGAAAAGTCTGGAATTTTGGTACATCCTAGGCAGAAAGTGCCTATGCAACTGGCTCCTAATAAAAACCTGGGACATGGATCTCAAAAGAGCTTCCAAAGCAGACAACATTTCACGTGTGTTGCCACAACTTTTTGCTGGAGGAATTGTGCACATTCTGTGTGATTCCACTGGAAGAAGACTCTTGAAACCTTGTGTCTGGGTTTCTGCAGACTTTGTCCCATGTCTTTTCTCTTTGGCAATTTTGCTTTGCATCCTCTTGCTGAAATAAAGCACAGCTAAGAATACAACTATATGATAAATCTTGTGAGTCCTCCTAATGAATAACTGAAACTGAAAGTGGTCCTAGAGACCTATAACACAGGAATTATATCATGTTATTTATTTTTATGTTTATTTAATCTTTTCAAAACCTTTAAACGAAATGTATTATAATCTATTCAAAACCTTTATATGAAATGTATTATAATCTATTTTTATGTAAGAAAACTACGTCTTAGCAAAGCTAAATAATTAATGTAAGGTTATATTGCTCATATAACATAGAATTCAAGATTGATTCCAAAAGTCATCCTCTTTCTTCTATGCCACATTGCCTCTGTGATGCTCTGGTTCACCAATTTTCTCAATCATTGAGTTAGTCTTATTTCCCCCATTTAAAGGTAAATGTTTACCTTTAGATAGTGTATTCATCTAGAGTCTGATATAGCAAATGTAGTATGGTTAAAATAAATTAACGTTTCTTGATGACTTCAGCTCTTTTAAGTGGTTTGAGTGTTACTAAATTAATATTCAGTATCTACTCTAGGTACAGACACAGAGACTAAGGAGATGAGTTTGAGCTTCTATCCACATAAAATTATCTCCCAAAGATTTTCATTTTTCTTTTTTAAAAAAAGCAATACTAATATGATTTCCTCTAAATCAAGATAATTAATTATCAGTTATTTGAGCATACTAGTAGAACTCTAACAGATTCTTAGAGCAGCAGAAAGCCCTTAGAGAAGTAAGTTTTCCATCTGTATGGAGCATCAAAGTGATACCTAAGGAGTTGATGATGTAACCAATGTGCCAAAAAGGATTGAGCAATACTTTTCTTTTTTACAATTGTATTATAAAAACTAAATGACTAATGTAACTACTGAGCTAGAAGAGAGAACATAAAAGACCTGTTATAGCATCACATACAAATCAGGACACCTGTTATTTAGCAACTTCACTGTAATGGCAGCAAGAAATCATTCTGGAATTCTGAATAATTAACAATTGCCTACTTAAAAATTCAAGTGGTGTTAATAGCAATTGCTTCTAAGAGGAGACATGGATGGCTAGAAGATAGCGGTAGAAGGCAGATTTCTTTTCAATGTATAGGTATTTATGAAATTTTGTGATCAGGCGCAGTGGCTTATGCCTGTAATCCCAGCACTTTGGGAGGCCGAGGTGGGCGGATCATCTGAGGTCGGGAGTTTGAGACGAGCCTGACCAACATGGAGAAATCCCATCTCTACTAAAAATACAAAATTAGGCGGGTGTGGTGGCACATTCCTGTAATCCCAGCTACTCAGGAGGCTGAGGCAGGAGAATCGCTTGAACCTGGGAGGCGGAGGTTGCAGTGAGCCAATATCGAGCCATTGCATTCCAGCCTGGGCAACAAGAGCAAA